TCATCCTGCTCTCACTGTTCCGTACTTCCCAGTGGTATTCGTTGTATCGTTATTCGGGTGGTGCTCTCATTGGGCGGCTAAGGACTGAACATATCCGCACTCGTCCCCCCTACTCTCTCCGCCTCTCTGTGGCTTCGCTCCTCCATGGTCAGAAACGTTCGGCTTTCCACTTCGGTCAGGGACCAGCCGCCCTCAAGGCTATGCAATCCATCCTCTTCTTCATCCTTCCCCTCCCCTTCCTCATCCTCAGCTGCTTTTGGCTCAGGCACCTGCCTGCCCCTGCAGCTTCTTGGAAGCACATGCTCCCATCCCCCCCCCTTCGCGGCGATTGTGGTGGCGGGGTGGCTCCACTGGGTTCGGGGGCACTTCCTGCCGGCGTCTGCACCCACATCACGTTTGGCTCGGCCTCGTTGCAGGGGAGGTCCAAGCTCAAGATCGTCATGGATCCTACGGGCCCTGCCATCAGCGCGACCAATCAGGACGTGCTGCTGAGCATCGAAAATTGCATCGGGGCCCCTTGAGGACACATGTGAAGTGGACTGCAGACATCAACACTCCGATGGGCGCCAGGCGATTTGGTTGTGGGGTTCTGCTCTCGAAGAGGCCTCACATCGATGCTACAGTGCTGATGATGGAGATGATGGTCCTGCTGGCCCACGTGACGATGATTCTGGTGGTGGCCAAGGCGGTCATCGACGGTATCGGCGTGATGACCCTGGCCTCCTTGTGGTAACGACCCGCGGCACGGAGATGCTGACGATCCATGGCGCTCCTTGTGCCAGCCGAAACGTCCACGACATTGCGCACCTCTTCCGCAGAGTCGTCAGTTCCCGTGCAGAGTCGACGCACCCGCGTTCTCTTGCTCATCGCTTGTTGTTCTTGGCATGCGCGCTTCTCGGTGCGTGGCTTCAGAGGAAGTACAACGTTATGATGTGGATAGTATGGCGTATGAGTGTGGAGATACGTTTTATCATGAATTTCGTGGTGGTACCACTCATACGGCTGAAACTGCTATTGACACGTTGTTGCAGGCGCTTGGCTTTCTGGATGGTGGCGTTGCTTCGCTCGGTGGCGATCTTCATTTTAAACCCGGTGGTCCAAGTTCGGCAGGTGCGCAAGCAAATGTGTCTGCGTGGGTGGTTTCGATGATTTGCGACGCGCTCTGGCAGAGCTGGATGCGACCAGTTCCCACGGTTATCACGCTGCGCCGCATCCTCCTCGTGAGCTTGCTGTTTCTCGGCTTCCTGGAACAGGGGAGCATTGTTGTAAAGTGCAGTGTGGCGTGGATCGCCCTGTTCGTCGTGAGGTCTCTCGGGCGATTCGATGGCCATTGAGTCTGTACATCAACAGGTTCTGTGTGGTCAGCGATTTCTTAGGCTGTGTTGAAAGTATCTTCGGGGTGACGGAGTCAGAGGTTCGGGTCCAGATGCACGATGACCAGGTGTGTTATGTGATTCAAGCACGTTCTGTTCATGAATGTCGCGATCTTGCTGTTCCTATGTTATGACGTCCTCCTCGGGTCGGCGGCGCATATTTTATTGCACGGCCGCCCTGCGCATCATGGATTTCACTGTCATCCTCTTAGACGGTTCTGGCATCCTGCAGACTCTCGCCTTGTTCTCGTTGTTCGGCGAGTTTTACTTCTTAGGTATCAATGGCTTAGTCACACCATGCCGCACCTTGACCTGTCATTCGGCGGCTTCCTCGGCTTCACGGGTGTCACTGGCCTCTTCGACAGTGTAGTGCCTCATCCATGATGCTTTCGTTTTCGCTCGTTGCCCCATGCGTGGTGGCAGAGTCTCAGAGGGTAAAGGTCGAAGGCGTGGAGCGTTCAGTGGGGGGCAGAGAAAAACTTCTCCTCGTCGTCCTCCTCCTGCTCCTCCGTCGTTCCTCCTCATCTTCCTCGCCCCTCGTCCTCATTATCCTCCGTGGCCCCAGGGTAGGCCTGGCCATCGCTGGTGAGGGTTGTTTGTTGGCGCCCACGTTGGAGGTCGGCCAGTTTCGGCTTCCCCGCCCGCCCAGGGGCGGCGCGAGCAGGTTCGGGGCAGCAGAAGGGGAATGGGCGCACGGTCGGGCCGAGGTATAACATCGAGGTCGGTTCGGGGAGGGTACCTTGATGATTTTTGTGTTTGTGCATCTTGGGGAAGGGTACCCCCGAATGTTCTTCAGTTTTGGCCAGCGGAGGGTCTCGTATTCTTGTCGGGTGTTCTTCTGCCCCAGGTCCGACCGTAGAACGGAGAGGGGGGCAACTGCAGGTTGCCTGGGCAGCGCGGAAAAAAAAACAGTGCCCCTCCATCCACGCGATCGCCGACATGTTCCAAAAAAAGGGGTGGCGAATCGTGAGGACCTTGGACCGCCAGAGAGAGAATTCTGGCAGGGATGACAAATAGGAGAAGGAGGAGGAGGAGGAGGAGGAGGAGGGGGAGGAGGAGTTCAGGAGGGGAGGCGGAGGCGAGGCGGGGCGGAGGCGGCCGGAGGGTGGCGGAGGCGGATAGGCGGAGGCGGAGGAGGCGGAGGAGGCGGAGGAGGAGGGGGGGGAGGGGGCGGCGGAGGGAGCGGGGAGGAGGGGGGCGGGAGGGGGGGGGGGAGGGGGAGGGGGAGGGAGAAGGAGGGAGGAGGCGGGGAAGTGGAGGAGGGGAGGAGGAGGGAGGAGGAGAGGGAGGAGGAGGATGGAGGACGAAGGTAGGCTAGGAGAGGAGGAGGAGGAGGATGAGGCGGAGGAGCGGAGGAAGGAGGAGGAGGCGGAGGAGGCGGAGGACAGGCGGTGGTAAGGCGGAGGGGCGGAGGAGAGAGGAGGTGGAGGAGCGGAGGCTGGAGGCGGAGGCGGAGGCGGAGGCGGAGCGGAGGCGGAGGCGGAAAGGCGGATGGAGACGTGAGGCGGAGGCGGAGGCGGAGGCTGGCTCGCGGCGGCGGAGGGGAGGAGGGAGGAGGAGAGATGAGGAGGAGGATGAGGACGAGGGACGCAGGACGAGGGAACGAGGACTGCAAGTGAGGAGGAGGAGGAGGAAGAAGAAGAAGAAGACTAATAATAATAAGAAGCAGACGAAGAAGACGAGGATGAGGAGGAGGAGGAATATTAATAATAAGACGAATAATGAGAATCATAATACGAAGAATAAGAAGCATAAACATACTCACAATAAGAATAATAAGGATAATAAGCAGAGGAAGCAGCAGGCGCAGAACACGCAGAATAATCAGAAGAAGCAGAAGAAGCATAAGAAGCAGAAGACGCAGAAGAAGAAGAATACTAAGCAGAATAATAAGCATACTAATAAGACGACGAATAAGACGAAGACGAATACGAAGACGAATAATGAGAATAATAAGAAGACGATGCCAACTAAGAATAATCCACAAAAGACGAGGAGGAAGAAGAGGAGGAGGAGGAGGAGGACGAGGATGAGGAGGACGAGGATGAGGACGAGGAGGAGGAGGAGGAGGAAGAAGAAGAAGAAGAAGACAAGGATGAGGAGGAGGAGGAGGAAGAGGAGGAGGGCGAAGGAGGTGGGGTGGAGGATCAGGAGCAGGAGGCGAGGAGGAGGAGGGGAGGGAGAGGAGGGTAGGCGAGCAGGAGGAGGAGGAGGGGGGGGGGGGGGGGGGATTGGAGGTGGAGGAGGAAGGAGGAGGAGGAGGAGGAGGAGGAGGCGGAGTGAGGAACGGAGGAGCGAGGCGAGGAGGCAGGAAGGAGGCGGAGAACGAGGAGGATGGAGGAGGAGAACGAGGAGGAAGAGAAACACGAGGAGGAGGAGGAGGAGGAGAACGCGGAGGAGGAGGAGGAGGAGGAGCACGAGGAGAAGGAAGAGGAGGAGGACGAGGAGGAGGAAAAGGCGGAGGAGGATAAGGAGGCCGAGGAGGAAGAACAGGAGGAGGAGGAGGAGGAGGCGGATGACGAGGAAAAAGAAGAAGAGGAGGAGGACGACGACGAATAATAATATCAAGAACCTCACTATCAATAAGAAGAAGGCGATTCAGACGAAAAAGACGAATAAGAAGAGTAAAGCGACCAATGGGATGACTAATGCGACGAAGAAGAAGACACTTAATCATAGTATTTTAAGAATATGAGGACGATTAATTAGAATGCTAACATTACTCGTAATATTAAGACTAAGAAGGATGACGCTACTAATAATTTTACTATGACTAATGGTACGAATAACAATAATACTATTAACTATAATGTGTAATAACATTGCTATGAATACGACTGCTAATAGTAACAGCCATAGTAGTACTGCTATTACTACGAACACTACCTATGCTAATACCAATAATACCATATGCTAATACCACTACAAATATTAATACTAAGAATAATGGTAGTAGTCATAATAATAGTATTAATCGGAATTCCCCAATTAGAGCTTGTCTGTGTAGGGGTCCTAGCGGATTCATATGGTTAGGTTAGGTTTGCCGCCGATTTTCGCCGCACGCCCGGGTGCCCGGGTGCCCGGGGGTGCGGGTGCCCGGGGGGGTGCCCGGGAGTGCCCGGGTGCCCGGGCGTGCCCGGGGGTGCCTTATAGCCCTATAGCCCTATAACGCTAAGCCCTATAGCCCTATTGCCCTATAGCCCTAAACCCTATAGCCCTAAGCCCTATAGCCCTACAACTCTATAGCCATAGTCATATAGCTCAATCGCCCTGTAGCCCTATAGCCCTGCTTAGGTTTTTCTCCGGTATCATAGGGTTAAGCATACGAGTAGCAATAGCAATAGTAATCGTAGTGATGAGAATACCAATGCTACTACTAACACTAATACTAATACTGATGCGAATACGAATACTCACAATAATAGTAATAGTACTAAGAATATTACTAACACGATTACCAATAGTAATAGTAATAGTAATAAGGAGAGGAGGCGGAGGAGGAGGAGGAGGCGGAAGAGGAGGAGGAGGAGGAGGAGAACGAGGAGGAGGAGGGGAACAAGGAGGAGGAGGAGAACGAGGATGAGAGGGAGAACGAGGAGGAGGAGGAGCAGGAGGAGGAGGAGGAGG